TCTGGGCCCAAAATCTCACATATTCATTTCTGAATGCATCATTTCCCTTATATCCCAGCCATGTTTCCAGAATCTACTGCTCATTGTCAGCAGCAAGACAGAATGAATGGATCTCTGGTGAGTTGTTTTATTATTTTTCATTTGTTTTCCATTCCATTATATGAACCTAAAGATGTCCAAGAATTAACAACAATACAAACCACACAGATTCAGCTTCAGGAGCACATTCATAAATCAGATAAAGAAGGCTTGTAAATTAGCAGATAAAGATTGCTTGTAGGTTTAGCAGATTAAATGGTTATATTCTAAGTTGAATTCAGATTGGCTTCAGAATGTCTAGGTTTCATCTTGTCATAAAATGTAGTCCTACCTGTTATGTGATGTAATGACACCAAGCAGGTTACTTCTCATGGAAGGTGAAGGATAGATTGCCACCAGATCACATCCTCATGAGTAACATTAAACTATCTCAATGAAATTTTCCTGGAATTGCTGAAATAGTGTGGTCATACATACCTTCATGTGTTCTTAAGGAATGATTAACCTATATGTACTTAAATTACTCTCCATATATAGTTCTTGGACTGCTTCATGGTCTTGGTCTTACTTGAAACTTCACCTGTATTTGTTGCTAAGCTTTATGGTCATTCTACAAATTTCTGTTTGTTTTCTAAAGTATTCTCACAAGATTTCTTTCCTCTATTTTCTCTCTCTATTTTTGATTTTCTACTCACTAGTGTTGGTTATTTTTCTCTTTCTCTCTCTTTGTATCTATCTTTCTATCATTTTTTTTCTTTTTTCAATCCCTCTTTCCTCCATATGTGTCTCAGTTGTTTCTTTTCTTCAAATGATCTATCTGGAACAAGATTTTCTTAGTGATCAGCTTTAAGTTGCTGACATGGCTCTTAGGATTGACATTTTTTTTACCCGTAGTATATGAAAATTATTGCCTAGAGAGTTCTACAGGATTCCAGAAACAAAGAAAATTAGAGCAACACAAAAACACAAACAGATAGATGTATGGGAAACCAGGGTTCCAAAGGCTCTCTGACACTTTGTCCCTGGACATCAGAAAGCTCGCATAGTTACTGGAGTGCACACTGGGAAGATTACCATTGATAACATGCAAAATTGAAGTATCTATATTAATAGTACAATCAGAGCCACAACAGGTTGTGAGGAAAACATGTTTCCTTATTCTCCTGAGACAGAAGACTGGCGCCCAGAGAAAATGCAGACATGAAGTTCACCTTACCTAGCCTTCAAGGTGAACAGCAACTCAGTTTCAGATGCTATCTTTCCAACAGTAAGGAAAAGGCCTGAACTCCAATCTCTTAACCATCTCCAGAATTCTCTTTTAACCCTTCTGCGGCCAGCTCTCAGTTCTCTCAGTGCTGTCCGGCTGGAATTCCAACCTCTCAAATCTTTTTCCCCTTCAGCTCAACTTCAGAGTTCCATACAGAAAAGTACGTCCTTCCTCCAACTGATAAACTACAAGAAAATTTGATTTCACCTGATTCTGTTATCTTTGGTCTAACTTCATTTGTAGTGGTATTCAGTTTTGTTTTTCCATCCCACTACTTTTAAATATTTTCATTCACTGCCAGTATAAGATAGGTAGTTTTGATAAAAAAAAAAAAGAATACAGTGATGAGTTTTTCTCTATTAGAAATATCATTTGTTGTAAAATCTCACAGATATTTGCTAGGAATTGATTTTGATCTCTGAAGAATTTCACTATTAACTAACAAAAGTGGAAATATATCTTTAGGGATCTACTGGAGAAATGACTCAGGAATATTTAACACATTTGAGCATTTGGTCATATTTATCATTTTTGTCATCTTGAGTGTTCTTTGAGTCTATCTATTTGCCTCCACCTTCCATGAAGGCTTATTAAAATGAAAATCTTCTCAAGGTATATTTTATTCCCCTCCCACATATATTTTGTGTTGTAGAATGTAGGTAAAGTTTACAAACCTTCATGGTACCAGTTCTTTTTTACATAGGAAGAAATATCAGGGTATCTAAGACCATATTTCAATATTTAGTATTTAAACCAAACATGGTTAACCTAGGATATTTTTATGTGGGAACTAAATCAAATCTTTTAAGGGCCCAATAAATCATTAGCTACTTTCTGGAGTACTGTTACTGTTTTTTAACATTCATGTGGACACTGCTTTTCTTTGATCTAATAATGTTCTATGTTTTGTATGCCTTGTGATATCCTGAATGTGTTCTGCTTGCTTATGAGAGTACTTGTTAATAGAAGGTCTAAATAGGATTTATGGTGAAGCAATAAATGTAAATGCAGAGAAAATATTTGTTTAATTCATTGTTACCTACTGATATATACTAAAATTTTATCAAAAATAATAATATAATTTTTTAGACACCACCTTAGACTTAATGTCATCATGCCAGATTATTGTCTCCTTAGAATTTTTATCTTGACTCTATTGCTAGCAGCAGAAATGTGTTTGCATGCATTAGGGAATCTGTAACTTTGTATTGGTCTTGGGGCCTGAATTCTTGGCCTGGTTATTGTCCATCAGCTCTTCAGGTCAAGGTGAGTGCTCTACCACTTGAGTCACAGTGCTACTTTCAGTTTTCTGGTGGTTTATTGGAGATAAGTTTCTCATGGACTTTCCTGCCTAGGCTGGCCATGAAACTTGATCCTCAGACCTCAGCCTCCTCAATAGCTAGGATTACAGGCATAAGCCACCAGTGCCCTGCAAATCTGTGTATTTTAGTGGCCAGGTTTATGTATTGTCAAATATTTCTAATTTGCTATTTAATTTTCCCAGTGAAAAGATAACATAGCCAGCTGCAAACATTTTATGTAAGACAAAAGCATACCTGCTGCATAATGAAATTCCAGATTGGAATTCTCTTGACCCAGGTCTAATTTCTTGATGGAAATGTGCCATTACAGAAGCTGATGTCATTTGATGATGTGGCTGTGTACTTTACCTGGAAGGAGTGGCAGGATCTGGATCCTGGTCAGAGGACCCTTCATAGAGAAGTAATGCTGGAAACTTATAACAACCTAATGTCCTTGGGTGAGCAAAGGTCACTTTTATTTGGAAGATCAAGTGCTTTTATTTTAGTAGACATTTGACTATGTTATTTAGGTATAAGATTCCAGTCCATTCCCTTGTAAAAAAACTGCTAGTATAAAAGCCAGCCAAATTCAGGCCTGGGAGCTTGATGTTGTTTGCCTTTCACACTACTGCTTGAGCCACCACTCTATTTTGGCTTTTGTTTTGGGGTATATTCTGAATTTCCATGCCCAGGTTGGTTTCAAGCCTGCCTCTTCTGATCTTACCTCCTAAATGTAGGGTTAGAAATGTAAGCCTTTGGACCATTACATTTTGTTTTAAAAAAAAAAGATTACAGTCCATGGGAAGTGTCATTTCTTCCTAAGGGAAACTTCAACTTCATTATGTGTAACTCATGAGCTAATTTTATTCTCAGTCTTTAAGATTTCTAATCAGTAGTTGGACAAAAGTTCTAAACTATGATCCACTAATAGGAGACTGACTTTCCAGACTTGGGGTGATTATTATAGGTGGATCTACACTCTAGATAGAATATACATTAGTACTGTCAGCATGATCTGGAAATCAGTAGGTGAAAGTGTGAAAGTGTGTATTTGTAAGCCAAACCTGACATAGGTTGCATTGTTTCAAGCTTGGAATTCTAGATACTCTGTAGGCTGAAATCTGAGGATTTTGGTTTAAAGCCAGCAACTATAGAAAAATGAACATGAGACTCTTATCTCCAATAACCATTCAAAAACTAGAAATGTAGCCAAGACACAAACTAGTAGAATGCTAGATTTGAGCAAAAGAGCTGAGTCCAAGCCACACATTGGGAAAATAAACCCAAAGCTGGGGGAAAGTACACCATGGAGCTGTTAAGAATTGAGAAACCATGGACTGGGAAGGTGGCTCAGTGGTAGAGCCCGTGCCTTGCATGCTTGCGGCCCTGTGTTCGATTCCTCAGCACCAAAAAAGCAGAAAAAAAAAGCCAGAATTGGCATTGTGGCTCAAATGGTAGAGTGCTAGCCTTGAGTTTAGGAGGTGTGATACAGCTCCTAGGCTCAGAGTTCAGGCCCCACAACCGATCCCACCCCCCAAAAAATAAAACAATTGAGAAACCAGATTTAGGAGCAACCCAGTGAACAGGATGTCTGCAACATTACATTAATGATGACCCAGCAAGAGCAATAGTTCTCCACTATTTCTTACTCACAGGGCACTGTGTTCCTAAACCTATATTGATTGTGAAGCTGGAGCAAGGTGCAGAACCATGGATGAGAGAAGACTCAGAAGAGAATTTCACAGGTGAGTTAAAGCATCTTGAATAGTGATGTTGGGTCCAGAGCCCAGTGGGTCTGTTTATCTTGAGCTGTAAAGAGCAATAGTATTCCTAGTGCCCTTGAGTCATGTATGGAAGACAACTAGGTGATCCTTTGTCTCAAGGAATTGTCAATCCAGAATTCTCGTGGAGACAAACTGAATTTGATGTTCCAGTGTAGTTAATGTTAGCACTTCTCTTTGTCTGTAGAGAAGTCATTCATGAAGAGAAAAAGACAATAAGAAATGTAGTAAAGAGATCTCATTTTAAACTAGTGTTTTGCAGGTAGGAGGAAAATAGGATCAGGACAATTTCTTATCAGTGGTGCTGGGCATAGAGGGAGATTCAGAATGGAAGCGTTACGAGTACAGAGATGAATAATTTGAGTAAATATTTCCTTGAGAAAAATATAAAAATCTGAAATACAGAAAAACATTATTTTCCATTGTAAAATGTCAGTACTACTTTCTTAATTACTACATTGCAGAGAAATATATATATTCTGCATAAAGCAATGCTTTGATATTTCAAAATATTGTAACAGAATGTGAGGAAATATCTTTACATTAAGGAATATATGGATCTCATTTATGTTTTTGTTTATTTTTCTATTATTCATTTTAGATGTCCCAGAAATGGAGGATGTGATTAGCACCTTCCAGGAACATCACAATAAATATCTCTCTGAAGTAGCAATCATGAATAGTAACCTAGGGGAGGAAAAAGTGAGACTTATAAGAAGTTTTCATTTGAGCTCCATACAGAAGTCAGAACTGATTAAGAATAATGGGAACTCCTTAGGGATGAGGATAGAAAAGGTCACTGGCTGTCAGAGCATGGGTATTTTCAGTGAACCTGGTAAGATGTGTGCTGCATATAGTACTCATGTGTCTTCTGTAGTTGACGAATGTAAACAGTGTGAAAAGTCTTTCACTGAGAAGAAACACCCTGTTGTCCCTCAGAGAAAACACACAGGAGAGAAACCTTATGAATGTAACATGTGTCAAAAGTCTTTCACCCAGAAATCAAAGCTTACTGTCCACCAGAGAACACACACAAAAGAGAAACCTTTTCAATGTAACATTTGTGGAAAATCTTTCATATGCAAGGCATATCTTACTAGACACCAGAGAACACACACAGGAGAGAAACCTTATGAATGTAACAAGTGTGGAAAGTCTTTCACCGAGAAATCAAAGCTTACTGTCCACCAGAGAACACATACTAGAGAGAAACCTTATGAATGTAACGTTTGTGGAAAGTCTTTCATCCAGAAATCAAAGCTTACTGTTCACCAGAGAACACACACAAAAGAGAAACCTTTTGAATGTAACATTTGTGGAAGGTCTTTCTCCTGGAAGGAATATCTTACTAGACACCAGAGAACACACACAGGAGAGAAACCTTTTGAATGTAACATTTGTGGAAAGTCTTTCTCCTGCAAGGAATACCTTACTCTGCACCAGAGAACACACACAGGAGAGAAACCTTATGAATGTAAGATGTGTGGAAAATCTTTCACCAAGAAATCAAATCTTAATCTCCATCAGAGAACACATACTAGAGAGAAACTTTTTGAATGTAACATTTGTGGGAAGTCTTTCTCCTGCAAGGCATATCTTACTCTGCACCAGAGAACACACACAGGAGAGAAACCTTATGAATGTAAGATGTGTGGAAAATCTTTCACCAAGAAATCAAATCTTAATCGCCATCAGAGAACACATACTAGAGAGAAACCTTTTGAATGTAACATTTGTGGAAAGTCTTTCTCCTGCAAGGCATATCTTACTCTGCACCAGAGAACACACACAGGAGAGAAACCTTATGAATGTAAGATGTGTGGAAAATCTTTCACCAAGAAATCAAATCTTAATCTCCATCAGAGAACACATACCAGAGAGAAAACTTATGAATGCAACTTGTGTCGAAAGTCTTTCTCCCATAAAAGAAACCTTACTGTGAACCAGAAAACACACACATTAGAGAGACCTTATGAATGTAACATGTGTGGAAAGTCCTTCTCTTGGAAGTCAAGCATCAATGTCCATCAGATAATACACACAGGAAGGAAACCTTATGAATGTAACCTGTGTGGAATGACTTTCACCTGGAAGTCAAACCTCACTGTCCATCAGAAAAAACACAGGAAAGAAACCTTATGAATGTCATGATTGCGGAAAGATTTTCAGCCAGAAGCTACAACTTACTATCCACCAGAGAGCACACACAGGAGAGAAATTTTATGAATGTGACCTATGTAGAAAATCTTTCATGCAGAACATACACCTTTCTGTCCATCAGAAAAAAACCAACCAGAGAGAAATATTATGTATGTAGCAGGCATGGAAATTCTTTCACCTGGAAGGCACAACTTAACATCCATCACAGACACAAGGAGAGAAACCTTATGAATGTGACCAATGTGGAAAGACAGCTTAACACACATAAGTTGATTCACACAAATGAAATAACTTAGGATTGTACCAAATGGGAAAGTCTTTGATCTGTAAGAAAATTGAAATTGCAATACAGAACCAATACAGGATACAGACCTTATGATATAGCAGATGTGGAGTCCTCGAACTACAAGACACAGCTCAGGGTTCATCACAGAACACACAAAACACACAGACACACATACACCCTCACACACAAAGAGGAGAAAAATCATATTTAGAAAAATTGGAAAGGTTTTCTAGAAAAAGTCATAACAGTAGTAAAGTCTTTCTTGGAGGGGTAACAATGCTTGATAGAAAATGTATTAATGACCTAACTCATATAATGGTATAACCAATCGATACAATATCTTTACAATAAAATATATATTTAAAAAATATGATGGATTAATAAAGACTAGAATCTCTGCATTTTTTGGGGGGGAGGTCCGGTCGTGGGGCCTGAACTCTGGGCCTGGGCGCTGTCCCTCAGCTCTTCAGCTCAAGGTTAGCGTTCTACCACTTGAGCCACAGCACCACTTCCGGCTTTTTTTTTCTTTTTGCTTATGTGGTGCTGAGGAATCGAACCCAGGGCCTCGAGCATGCAAGGCAAGCGCTCTACCACTGACCCACCTTCGCAGCCCTGCATTTTGTCTTGGGGGAGAACCCCAAAGTGTCTTCAGTGCTTGCACTTTTCTTTAATTAATCACTGGTGATGAAAAACTTGTGATTGATTCACTCTTAGCCCATTTATTTGTTCTGCTGAGTGAGCTATAATAAAAGACCAGTGTGGACGATGTGTCGCACCTGTGTTATCTCATAGAGGGCCAAAGTAGATATGACATTAGGGGAAATAATCAAGCACACAAAGATATTGATCAATCTCTCTCAAAAATTGAAGTTAACAAAGGAATAAAACCATCTGCCATTGGGCTACACCATCACTTCTAGACCCTGAGAGGAAGGAAGGAAGGAGTAGGGAAGTGAGAGATGGAAAGAGGAAGGGAAGAAATGAGGAAGAAGGAAGAAATAAACTATTCAAAAGAAGAATGTTTAATTTTTGGTGAATTTGAGAATTATTGTTTCAGAGGTGGAGCTCAAGAAATATGGCTTTTACAAAAAGCAAATATTTGAATGTTTACAAAACGATAAAGAGGATGTAACATTTTATAAATTGATTTAATAATACAGTAATATTAAGTAAGGAGGTCAGGTGTGGCTGGTGCCCTATTGGCCACTTGGTAGATGGTGGGGTCTGGCATCTTGTTTTCATGCAGGGGGAAGGAAATGCCCCATCCATCACTTACCTCCCAACTGATGGGTGTGGCTGGATCCCTGTAAGCAGGCATGGGCATTTGGCTGATGTTACTCAATCTGAAAGTCCAGTGCCTGGAATGGGAATTTCCTGTAGACCTGCCTCCTGCTTAGGCCCTATTTAGGCCGGACCAGCAGTGGCACCAGATGCCATGCCACATGTCTCTGTAATCATGTCCTGTGTGCTTTCTCCTGGCTTGTCTCTCGTCATCTGGTGTCCCAATTCATCACTTTCTTGGTGCTGATTGGTTTCTGGGTGCTGTTTTTATTCTCTCCCCCCCTTTCTGTCCTATTTCCAAGCTGTCTAAGTGTATTTGTGGACTGCAAGTCTTTGTTAGAACAGGCTGCTTGCAGACTGCTAGCTGTGAAATCCACTCCAGTATTCCATCTACCATAATGTGGCTTTGAACAAATATAGTGTCTTCTTTTACAGAAACAGAAAGGTTGACCTGAATTTAGAATTTCTAGAGTCAAGATCGATGCCACTGTATAGTTATGTAATTAAAGATATCCTGCAGGTATTTAGAAACAATTTCTGTTACATCAGAAAGAGCTTAATTAATAAACCAAGACCAAGGCTCCAGATCCTATATAAGCCAGTCATTCTAGATATGTCTAGAGCTGTTTGGTTACATGAAGAGCAATACTTTCACACATTCATGAAGGAACGTTATTGTGCCAATATGAGGTTTTGAACTCAGGAACTGAGTTGAAGCCAGCCAGAGCTGGCTTCAAAGGAGATTCTCTCATCTTGGCCTCCATAAAAGCTAGCCCTGTGGGCTGTTCTGAAGAAATCTGTCTCTGGGAACATGAGGTTTCCTTCAGTGCTCCAGTTCAGGCTTCCTGTGGCTTCAACAATTTCAGTATTTATTTCAATAGTTCAAAAATAATAACTCTTCTTCACAGTATTTTCACAATAAAAAAAGGAATCCTTAAATCCTGCCTATGATTCCATTTACAAGATAAGGACAGTGGAGTTCACATTGCTAGATTTAGCTAGTTGCTCGCTTAATGCCTTCCATCACACTGTTCACCCTTCTACTTTTTTGGGGTGGGGGGTCCGGGCTTGTGGCCTGAACTCTGCGCCTAGGTGCTGTCCCTCAGCTCTTCAGCTCAAGGCTCGCACTCTACCACTTGAGCCACAGTGCCACTTCCAGCTTTTTTTTTTTTTTTTGCTTATGTGGTGCTGGGGAATTGAACCCAGGACCTCATGCATGCATGGCAAGTGCTCTGACACTGAGCCACATTCCCAGGCAAACCCTTCTGCTTATCTACAGAGGCCTAATAAAAAAAATGGCATTCGGAGGCACCTGTGCCCTTGGCCTTCCTATTTGTACCACACACACACACACACACACACACACACACACACACATACACACTATCCATTTGGAAATCGCTCATTCTCCCATGTTTACAAACTGTATGCTTTCTGAGAAGGGATGGTTCACAGACTGGAGTCCTACCTAGGCCTGTTATATATCTCAAATTATGAACCAAAATACCACGTTCATTAAAATTATGCCTGATGATAACATTTTATTAAAGTTTTGTATTATTTTTGTTATTATCATTTGACCAACACTTTGCTTGAATTCAGAAGTAAAGGGACTTAATGCTCACTGAATTGGTAAAGTACCCTTTCCTCTTTTAATTTCAGACCAGCAATTAAAAATGAGCAATTACACTCCCTCATGTGTGGAATCCTAACTACTCAGGAAGCTGAAATTAGATAGTTTTGTAGGCCATCCCATGCAAAAGCTCCATGAAAATGGTATCTTAGCCAATAAAAGCATGGCTCTGGTTATATGTACCTACCTTTTTACTACTTCTGATATGTAATTATAAAATTAATGTATGGAAAGGTCCAGGCAGAGAAGCAAGACCCTAAGGTGAAAAATCAGTGATACAAATGGTCATCTTCTATAGAAGGTAAAGGAAGCCTCACAAGTTTTTGCCCCTGAATTCAACCTGAGGACCAATAATGAGGTACGTGTAACCAATACATTCTTTCAAATATTTAGTGGAAGAATTTGGGTGTGGATTACCCAATGATAGGTAAACAGACCTTTACCAAGTGATTGCAAAAGGACTTTTGCATATGGCTATATGATGTTATGAATTATATATCCTGTTATGTGGACACCATGAGTCCTGTTTGGATCAAGTAATTAAGATCTCCTGATCTAACAGGGCACTGGTGCTTCACATCGGGATTCTTACTTGCTCAAGAGCATGAGGTTTAAAGATCACAATTGAAAGGCAAACTAGGTAGGAATAGCTGTAAAAGTGTTATGGCCAATTATCACCAAATTTCCCACAAGTAATGCTGTGAATGAAGTTGATAGACTGTCAACACTTTTGTTCCTTTATTACCAAAGCTCAGGGACAGTACCCGGGCCCTGAGTAGAAAGAACTCCAGGGCCAGGGAAGATATTCTGGAAAATGGGTTTTTGGCCCTCGTGCAGAAAAGTTACCATTCTTGTTTAAGCCTAAAGTCCTCGATAATGTATAGTCATTGTCCTCAATTGAGGTTGATATTGAAATGTGTTATAAGCCAGGGTAATGATAGATTGTACGAATATTTTGGTTTCTTTTGTCAAGTGAATCCACATGCACATACCTTTATGTTTCTGACTAGTTCATAAGTCCTTGTAGAGGTTCAAGATGCTATGCAGGACAATGTGGTCCACGTCTGTAAAGTGCAGAATGAGACCTTCAAAGAGAGATCTCAACATATAAAATGGGGCCAAATATTGCAGTATACTTGAAACAGTATCATAAGAAAAGAAGTATCAAGTAGTGATGATTTAAGGTCCCAGAATACCAATATATTTGAACGATAAGATTGGTCTATGCCAGAACTCAAAATGGAAGGTACAGGAAAGAAAAGTTTGGTAAGGAGCCAGCTGAGGAGAGGAGGGCAGTGCCAAAGTCTTCATGCAATAGGCAAACCTGGCAAGTCCCTTGGGACAGGAGTGAGAAGCCCAGAGCAGGGTGTGTGCTACCCATCAGTCCACCACCAGCACAGCATGGCAGCTGCAGCATGAGCCAAGTTGCACACGTGTTTCCTGCAGTGCTGACTGTTGACACAGGGACCTGTCAGAGAAATCAGTGGCCTAATGTAATAGTCTTGTCCTATGTAGATGATACAATTACTTGTGGACTAGAGAATTGGTAGTAAAACATTGCTAGATGAACTAGTAAAAATTCTTCAGGATGTGTGTGAATTTGTGTGCCCTAAGAAGAAAAGAAATTGAAAAGTAGTTCAGAGAGAACTTCAATGACAAGTGTGGGACTTGAGTGCACAGCAAAATAGAACCATTACTATCACAACAAATAGGTGAAAAGGAAGGGTTCCTTCACTTATTTTTACCAACCCTAACAAATCCCATTGTGTTCAAAATAATAAG